TCTACATCTGCAGCACACTTCTATTTGCTGATCAGGCTATCGTAAACACACATAATTCTCATTGAATTATGGAAGCAGCAAAGAAATCTGAGAATAACTATGTTCTCTAGACTAAAACAGCCACAGTCTGGTCCTTCAAACAGATTCAGTCGTGCAGGGATGTTCCTGCTTGTATATGACAACATAAAATACCATCATCCCCACAGCTGGAATCTAGATAACATAACAAAACACATCAAAGTATAGTCACTCCTTAATTACACATGCACAGAATGTATGCTGGAAGCTTTATTAACTTGCAATATATATAAATCCCAGAGACGCACATATGAAAGACTGGGCACCCTATCAATTAATAACTTCCAAATTTCTCTCTGAATACCTGAGGTGACACTGAAATGATTCAGAAAAGCAGTTCCTTGTTTAATTTTGTGGAAGGGAAAAAAATCACTGACTATTCAACGCTTCCTACAACAGCTACATTTTCTCCTTTTCCCCTTTATACTGAGATTAACACTCTGAAACCCACACCAGATTGGAATTTGGCACACAGCTTAGGAAATGCAAACACACGAATTAATAACCTGAATTATGTAAATATGAACCAGAGATTTGCCATTTATTTTAAAAAGCTAGAAGAACTCATGTTAACTCATTTATCCATGCCCAGGCATTACTCACATGCTTCTGGTTTAGTGAGCAGCTTCTTGAAAAACAAGCCTATGAATGCTTTAATAGCTAAAGCATCAGAACACTCTTATTTTAAAGGGTTAGTTGCTTACAGAACCAGCAAGTCCAGCCTGGTTCCAATTAGAGAGTGTCCTTCAGATCAGAAGGATGTAATGTATGATTGAGTCATGCTTTGCATTGGCTGATTAGAGGATAGAATGGGGCAAGAGCTCTGCATCAATGACTAGGGACTGAGTTCTTTAAACCAGACTTTTACTATCGTGTAACACCAAGGCTGGGATTGCTGCCCTTTAATATATTTATCCTTGCTTGTTATATCTCACAGCACTTGCAACAAAGCTGTTGTTATAGAAGGAGGGAGAAAACTTGTACTGACGTTGTGCAGAGGGAAACAGCCTCTGAGGCCTGACCCCACCAGAGTTTTATTCCACAGATGTTCCCTGTAAAGAGTAACTGAAATTGAAACACAGCTGAAGGGACAATAAAAACAACAGGTCACCTTTTGAGTCACCAAGATCCCAATACTGCTTTCCTTCATTTGAGCTTTACTCTGGCGTAATGGTACCAAGTCTGAGAGAATCTGCTTTTCAGCTCACAGCCTTTCCAAAATAATTGCTGGAAAATATAAAATAAAGCAAAACTGATGGAACCCACAGGCCTTTGTTCCTCCTTAGAAACATCTTTAGAATAGCAAAGAGGCTTCAGTGACAGAGGCCGATAGAAATCCCCAAGACTTGCAACGAGTCGGGATGCTTTGCCACTGCAAAGCAGCTTAGATCGCCCTGCCTAACCTCAGGTGAAAGTGCGCTGCGATCTTCTGATCGGCAGGGTTGGCACTGGCTTCAAAACAACCACTTGCATGGTGGTTATCAAATTCTTCAAAGGGAATAAGGGCTGCTGAGGGAATTCTACTACTAAACCTTGAGCGGGGGCACGAAGTCCCAGGGCCTTAAACTGTGAGACAAGGAAAATCTCATCCCCTGGATGAAAAGTATATATAGGAGAGCTCTTTATTCTGAATATGCTTCTGAAACCCAGGACAAAACTGTATCCTCAAGACCTTCCTCAGGAGACTGGAATGAGGCTTAGCCCTTCTTACTCCTTATCCATACTGATAGCGAGTTCAAAAGAGCAAAACATTTGTCTTAGACCATTATTAAGGATTGATACTCCAAACAACGCAATCTTTTGCACTCACAAATTCAAGTTTAGTTCTGTATTAAGAGCTTAATTTTTCATTGGCCAACAGGTCTTGGTGGCATTGCAAGAACACAGTAATTTCATGACTGCATAATTAACTTTATTTTACATGAAGCTGAGAATTAGCTGCTTTCCATCAATTTCAATTTTCCAGCCATTTCACTGCTTGCCTCTTAAGTGTAGATATTTTTTAACACTTGAGAGGCACTGACCAAATTCTGCCCTTTTCACTCAAAGCCAGGTCCTTAACTGGGCATCTTGCTTGAGGAAAGACAGCATGGGGTAGCTTTAGATTAATAAGAGATTGGCATGGGGAGATCAGGAGCTGCTCCACACAAGTATCATCAACCAGTTGCCCATTCAGATCTAATCCAGAGCAGTCACATCTGCATGGCAGTACCAGGCAATGCCTTCACAGTGAGGTGTAGGACCAGAACTGGTGGATTTAATCCAGTTCTTAAGAATTTTTAATATAAATCTCAGTGAAGTCAATGGGAATCTTTCTAAGCATTTTAAATCATAGCCCAGAATTACCAGAGCAGGAGCAACCTTCTCGGCAGCTGTGGAAAGGGGCCATGGAATAATTGGCATGAACCCAGACTATATCTGCACCCTGACAGGACAGAAAGCTCTTCAGTACTGGACTGAAATCTATTACTGAGGCTCTTGTATCTTTTTGCCTGTGTTTTTCTTCAATAATTAGGAGCTTTTATCTATCAGAGTACATCAAACCTGTACCTTCCACAAGCACCGAAGTCACTCAGAAAAAGGATAGCAAACATCAATGTGAGACTAGACAGCAAAAAAAAAAGCAAGCTGCTACAGCATCATCTAAACATAAGCTACTAAGTAATAGCATTTAAAAAAATCTATTTCACACAGATGAAAATCATTACAGTTCCCTAGAGACCCTCTCTCTCTCTGCAGTAACCTGTGTCATTTCCTAGCTAGCAAAAATGTGCCACAGTATATCAAAAGATGGTAAAGTTCTTCTAATTTTAATATTCCTCTAATCCAATAATGGCTTGTTTACTGCTTTCTAATTTAAAGGTAATTCATTAGATGTATTCTGTCACATCTTATTGGCATTGAAGGCGTAAGAATCATATGCACCTCTGAGACACATCGTTGTACTGCTAATACTCTGTGGTTCCCTTGATGCAACTGGCTACATAAATGGCACTGGTAAGGGAAGTGCATGCATGTACACATATAGAAATTACAGCAAAAACATTAAAAGACTTCAGAGATGAACTCTGGACCCCAGAATTTACACCCACTGAGAACTCCAGCAAAGACAAAGTGTTTAAACTAACATAAGTGATTTGTGTGTAAATATTTGTGATAGTGACACAAAGGGTCGCACAGAGCCTGCAGGGAAGCCCCCAGCTGACCCATGGGAGGCTTGAATGAGTCTGCTGCAAAATGATGAAGGTAAAGGAAACATTAGAGAGGAGGGGCAGCCTGAACTCAGAACTGCACATTTGGGGAGTCAGACCGCGCTTGGCAACATCTGTTGTGATTCTGCAAAAGCTACCCAAGACAGCTGAATTTTTGAGCAACCCTACAGCAATGTAACAGGAACTGAGACCAAGGGCTTCAAACCTGCTCGACCTTGGCAGCACACAGGCACTGAGGTCCTGGGGTGAAAGCAAGAACAGACCAGGAGCCATTAGCACAGTGGGGGAATACGTGTTCCTGCCTCTCCAGCTACGCAGCATCCACCGGGCTGCACGGTTCCCTTCTCACTCCCCCGATACAGATCCTGTGCCTACCTCCACGTGAGCAGCTCCTCTCCAAGCAATAAGGCAAAGGAGGCAATTTACTACAGGTAAATCCACTGTGCGCTCAAACACATTGTTCACGCAGCTTTCCTGCCACAAGGGCTGAGAACTCTTTGGCTGTTTATATTCTGCCAGCAGCCGGCTCAGTCACATCATCTTTCCCTACACTAGCATGTCCGTTTTCACTAATCTCTTCCTAAGAAGTGAAACCTTTGATCAACCGGACTCACCACACACGTGTAGTTATTTAATGAACCATGCCTACAGGGGCATAAGACTAAGGAACACAATGGAGCCATGCTAGGAAACCACACCAGTTGCCCAAACTTCTGTTATTCCTTAGGAATACGTCAGGATCAACCCAGCAGTTTGGAAGACAGTTTGGGTCAGTACGTGTCCAAACCCATCACCTCATTGGCTGTTGGTGATGTCATGCCCGTGCATTAATCCCCGGTGACTGCAGGTTTAACATCATGTATCTCACCACATCATTAACGACATTAACATACTTAACGACAATGAACGCCACTCTTGGAGGAAATTACTGGAGCAGAGAATAAAGCAACTTGTTGAAACAGGGGAAGTCGCATCTCTTTAAGTGATTATTTCCAGCTGTTTGTTTTTTTGTCACAGTGAAGTTGCTGGGGGCAGAAAATAACACATGCCTCAGTGAAAGGAGTGGGTATTGTTAGAGCTCTGGTTTAAAGAAAGTAAATCAAGATCTCCCACTCAAAAAGGTATAAGTGCCAGTGGTGAGAAGCCAACTGCTCTGGGAAATTAAAGTATTCCAGGAGGTATAAAATTGGTGGCTGAAATTAAAAACATTTTTAAAAAGGAAAACAAAAATAGGAGTAAGAGTGACATCTACAAAACAAGCTTGTCCGTTTGCTAGTGACATCCCCGTCACTAGAATAACTACAGCAGCAAATGAATACACACACCCACTGGTACACAGCGATGTCTAACTACAACCCGAACACCTGAAGTGCTGCGCACTGACACTCCCGGTCCCACCCCGCACCCAGCGCCTGCCCAGCCCGCGGGGCTCGCTAAAGACGTGATTAAAGGCGCAAAAGCCCCTCACGCTGCCCAGTGCGGGGTTGCTCGGCGGGGTCCCCGCGCCTCCCGCCTGGGGCCGCCTGCCAGCCCCAGTGGCCACTTCGGGGACAGACGAGTCCCTGCTATCCACCGCACTCCTCCATACAAGTTACACCGCAGATTAAGCCACCCTTCTTCCAGCGGAGCTCACCCCGTTCCCCATTGCGGTCACAGCTCCAGCCTGCCCGGGACGCGCAGGGCCGAGCACTAACACCGGGTACCGCTCACCTGCCCGCCGCCTCGTCCGAGGAGCGGCTGCGCTGGAGAAACAAGGAGGCAGCAGCACGGGTGTTGGAAGGGGGGATCCTCCTCGGGCAAGCGGGCGCACACCCGGCTCTCAGGCTGCGCGGAGGATGCTCCGCAAGGACTCAATCCCGCACGCAGCGGCGCATCGCCCTAAGTGGCTCTGGCGCTCCCCTCCCGCTCCTCCTCCTCAGAGACAGGGGGAGGAAGCACAGTGTCGCGGCTTCTCTGTCTCTTCCCTTCCACGGGACTCCCTGCTCGCTCCCTTCACTGCCTCCCGCACCCGACTCCGCGGAGCTAAGGCGGCTGGGGCGCAGGGCCCGCTCCTCCCTCCGCCCCGCGCAGCCAGGGTGCTGCAGGGAAGAGCGCCCTTCCCTCCGCAGCAGAGCTGCACGCCCTGCTCAGCAGGGGCTTCTGACTGCTTGGCAGAGCCCTCACCTTATTCCAACATCCGAGCGGCCGCTGCTCAGCAGAGGGAGGAGAAAGCAGACGTTGTTTCAGCTCGTAGCCGGGCCGGAGGTCGCAGCATCTTTTGGAGACGGGCGCAAGTTGAGACGGGTGCAGAGGGTCAGGACCACAACCCCATCGCCTCTTCTCACGTGTCCAATCACTCCTGCCGTACACTACAGTCCTACGGGCTCCCAGTGAACTACCACCTTCCAAAATTCAGTTGAAATGGCAAAGCAAAAGGTGGTGTTTCACTGCTGCGGAGCCAGGGTCACATCGACAGGCAGCAACCACCAGGAAACAGTCTGTTTCTTGCTCTGCCACTGACTTTCTCTACTGCCTTTATCACCTCACTTTACACCCTCAGTTTCTCCCATAACTCTGGTGCTTGCTTAAAAGATAGAGATACCCAAACACATCCTTCAGTGAGAGTCAGGCATTTAAATATCCACAGATTAGTCTCACTCTGTGAGAGGGCAAAGTCACCTTAAGTGACTGTAGAGCTCTGTGCAACGGCAGGCTGATCTTGGTTACATTCCCTAAACACTGATGCGATACAAATCATCATCCCCCTGGACAAACATTCCTTAAACAGGAAGAAGCGCTGAAAATGAACCTTGCAGAACAGGGCAGGCTACTTCTGTCACAGGAAATCACTCATCAGCTGCTGATGTGGAGTTGCACATTGCCTTTCAAGTTGTCCATGTGCAACTTTTCTAGCGCACATGTGAAAAACGGTAGAAGTCTCAACAGCTTTCACACCACAGCTCCTTGTAAATTAATAATACAGTAACAGACACTCACACCTGGGATAAATTCACTTAGCCTGAAAGAAAGGGTCTGAACCCCCAGCCTTAGCTCTCCCTCATCTCATGTTAGCAGAACTCAGCTGTGATTTTTTAATCAACAAGAACTACAAATTAGTCAAAACAGGGAACAAGCCCACACCGGCAGATCACGTTTCTTCATCTCATTCCTTACATGTGGAGCTGCCACCTTCTTGCCTATTGCTCCTGATATTTCACATGCCTCCAGACCCCTGTGAGCCTAGAGAAGGGGATAGAGAAACGGCAGATAAGGGAAGGAGCTCCAAGCTTGCACAAAGGACTGTGAGAAGTAGATCTGGGGACAAGGGAGAGAACTGGATGTACTGGTGGGAAAGAGGAAGATTTAGAAGACAGGAGACACAAATCAACAGGGAAAAGGTCTAGTGCTGCTGCCTGGGGAACCATTTGTTGGAAGCAGGGTAGCCAGGACATCAGATAGGGATTATGTGGGATCAATACCCCCCAGTACATGTGGACGGAGCAGTTCACCTGCAATGGGTGCTCTTAAAACCAGGCTGCTGAGCCATGGGAGACAGGAGGTCACAGCTCTCCCTGACCCAGTGCTATCCTGTGCTCGCATTTCCTTCCCCAGCCACCTCTGTTTTGGTCTGCCTCTTAGACTCAGTTTTCCCATCCAGACAATGGAGACAGCCACATTTCTTGCACAGAGCTGCTGTCAAAATGAATTAAGTGATGTCCAAAGAGTACTTTGAAATGCAGATAATATGCTTGCTAGTTTTAATGCCTCCAAAGCGGTCTCCAGATATCGCTAAATCCTCAAGATATCCCTGATCAATTCCTGTTTCACAGATGAGGAAACTGAGCAGAGGGACGGCTGCTTTAGTTCATCTCTTTTATGTTGAGCTCTATGGGTCCCCCTCATCTTGCCCTGTCCTAGTCTCCCAGTCACTTGCCCACAGTGATGAGTCACATCCAAAGGCACAATTTACTGACACAGAACAAGCATCACACCTGCAGTGCCTTCCACACCCGATTACAGATCCCCTATAAAGCTATTTCCTTTGACAAGTTAATGCCTAGGTTTGAGCTGTGCTCCCTCCCATGACCTGGTGTTACACACGGGTTTCCAGGAGCCCCCAAAAGTGTCGGTACTGTGGGGCAGAACTATATCTCCCCCTGTATTTTCCTTACCTCTGCAGGTGTGCTGGGAAGGAGCAGGACGCAAGAGCTTCTAGTCCCCAGGCCTGTGATCAAATTATCTCTCCCTCTGTCACACATCCTAATCATCACAGCTGGCGGTCATGCCAACAATATTAACGCTGCTGAGTAGCTTTCAGTTTTGCAATTAGCAAGGTTTTCTGCTTCCCTCAAATAAAAAATAGGCTCATACAACTTAATGCTGCATAAACGACACAGATACATTTGAGGCCCATGTTACCATCTCATGGAGAGGAACAGACATTCTGAGTGCTGTGGATATTCTAAACCATTTGAAGATTACAATGGTTACAAAGCTCATTATTTCTAAACATATTTATCCTTCCTCTCTTTTTTGTTTGCAAAATCCGGCATTGTGCAGTTTAAATAAACAACTATTGTACTATTAAACATTGATTAAAGAAAAGGGTTCCATTTAAATTATTAAGTGGTAGGATAAAAAGCATCCTTTCTCTTTGTATGCTACTTTATTCAGAAGTCAAACTTCTGTAGTCTCACTGAATGCTAATGAGTAGCATAATAATGCACAAGGGCAAGAGGGGGCTGAGTAATTAAAAACGGAGGCCAGAAATCAAAGGGCTTGAAATATACTCACTAAAATAATTCAATTATACATTAGAAACCTGGGATAATCAAGACACATCCCACAGTTTCATTCATCATTATGCCCCAATTTAATACCTATACTGGTTTGTCGTGCACAGGAAGCAGCACTTGGGACTTTCATGTGAGATGCCTCAGCTCAAGAGACAAAGGCAACAGGCACTCAGGTCCCATCCTCATCATGCTGCACCTTGAAAATGGCTTCACTTGGCTGAGTATCTTCCAGTTACCTGATTTAGGGAGCTGTTTTTTGCCACAAGCTATTTCTGTGTTGGTTGTATATTCCTTTTCTCCACAGCTTTGCAATTAATTAATAGAAATCTCCCTGCCCACCATTTCATCTTCCCTATAAATCCATCTCCCACCTCTCTCCTTGACTTCACCTTTTCTTGTGGCTTCAGGCTTCCCTGGCTATCCACAAAAACCTCTGCCAAGCAGAGCAGTGGGTAGGTTCATTCAGCAAACCAGGTGTTTAGCTGGGATGGCATCATGAGCCTCAGAGGTTTTCACACAACACAAGCTGGGTCAAAATAGCCTGATGTAGCTTTGCAGTGTCAACACCCTTATGGGCCAAGGAGTCCCAGCACAGCTTCTAGGACAGCAAAGGAGGGGACTCTTTTGAGGAAGTTCCACTGACATGTGATAAAACAAGGGAAAAGATCCAGTCTGATTTTCTTCAGTGATTTTGGAGATTAGTGGGGGATTGATGCGATTTTGCCCTGTGCAGTCTCGATGCAGTAAGCAATAATCAAGCTTAGTCCCATTTGCACTGACAACAGCTTCATGGAGGGAACTACAAGTGATGCATCGCCAGGAATCATGTTAAAAACTGACAAAGTGAACAGAAGTTTCCAGCTGACAAAGGATAACACTGTTGTTCAGAAAGGTTACAGATGCACAAGTTGTAACCTCAATTCTGGCGCATAATTAAGGCAATGGCAGGTGAAATCTGTTGGAAACAACCAGTTTCAGCAAAAAAATCGGGAATTTCAGCAAAACCAACCCTCAGCTGCATACCAGCATCCTGAGGAATCAGAGTCTGATTGTCTTGTTAGAAATCTTAAGGATTTAAACACAGAGACTACTAGTTCTCTCTAATGAGCGAAGAAGTCAGAATCCTGCTGAGCTTCACAAGAGAAGAGGAGCCTGTAGGCCAGCACAGGTCGTAATATTAAATGGTCAAGAAGAGAAACAAGAATCTCAGGTCAAGTTTCCAAAACTAGGGCTTTTAATTAAAATGAAGGTTATGACTTTAGCAGGTGGGTGCCGTTTAGTACAGTCCCAGCTATTACTGAGATTTGCTGCATCTTCAATTTAGAACAAAACAAAATGCTGCATGAGAAAGAGTGAGGGAGCTTGCTTCAGCCAGCTTACGACAGCAGCTAATATGGATGTCTCAGCTTTTCCCCAGACCTATCAGCTACATCTTCCTCAATCAGAAATAAAGCTCCTTTTGAGGTGATTCTGCTCCCCAAAAGAAGATACACATTCACTTGTGAAGAAGATCATTAAGACAAACAAACCAGCCCATGATGTGAGCTGGAGCAGTGTTTGCCAAAAGGGGAGAGGGAAATGTACAAGTAATTTAAGGTAGACAGAATTTCAACATACAGAGAACAAAATACCTATGTTCCCCCCCCCCCCCCTTTTTTTTCTAATGAGGAATTCATTTTTGAAGAGAAGACACTAACATACACATTGCTTGGCTTTGCAGAAGGTTGAGTGGAAGAAGGGTGCAGAGCCTGAGCTACACCGGAGCCCCACTGCTCGATATTTGTTTCCCAACTTTGGTGATGAAATACTCTATTAGATATCTTAGTGACATCCTTTCCCGAGAAACAGTCTGGGGCAGTAATTCTAACAGGACAAGTCAGCTGTAATGAATCTCTTTCCTTGGCACAGATGGGGCCTCACTTTACTCACATGCATAGCTTCTTCCACTTCCTAAGACTACATGAAGACAGGAGCAAGCAGCTCTGGCCTCTTATCTCACGTGCCTTAAACAATAGAGTGGCAATCAATAAATGAACATCATTTTTTTCTTTAAATATGCAATTACATGAAATAGATTATAGAAGTGACAAAACCCAGAACAACTGCACAAACACAGAGCTGGCCTCTGATTTCTATCAGCATGAGATCAAAGTAGTGTAGTTGCTCGTTTACAGCTCAAAGCTGCATTATTTTCCCT